GGGTTAATGAAAGTGTTCCAAAACGCGACATTAATTTCTTGACGACCTAATATTTCAATAAACTTCAGAGAGAAAAATTTTGTTGTAAAAATAAGTAAGATCTGCTTTAAATATAATCTATATGTTTTTTGTTTAATATTTTTGATAAGTTTCCAATTAAAGACAAATTTTATAAAATGTGTGTCAAGTGTTATTTAATAGCATACTTCCCGGGTGTTATTAATATTTTGTTGAAATCAAATTGTTATTCAACTGAAGGTATTTATATTCTGTTTCGTGAAATGTTTTTTTTTTATCAAAATAACGATTATCACATTTTGAAAATTGCTACCTCGTGCCTTTTGAATGCATTAGTATATTTTATTAAAGATGAAATAAGCATAAAACAGAGCATAAACGTTCGTGCTTAACTAAAAAAACTACAGTAGGTTATAAAATTAATTCAACGGTTGAAATTCCGAGAAATAATTGCCGAGCTAGATCTGTTCACCAATTGTTTAACACTTTGAAATAAGTTTATTATACACAAAACGAATTTTTAACATATAGGGAAGATTGAAAAGCTTTTTGCCATAAGCTTTAATATATGAATATACAACGTTATCTTCTGACACAGTTATTACTTCAATATAATCCATCAGTTACTCTACATAATTAGCCACTGTTCGTCATGCTTCTTGTGGCCTCTCCGCAATAAATTTAACATCAGCACGCTCCGTTTCGAAACAGTTTATTAATAGATTATAATTATTCGCCTAAGATTAATCATAGTTTGTGTTGTATAGATACTAAACTAGTTTAAGGATATCTGAAGCAAATCAAGATCAGTTTGCAAAAAATTGCACACGGTATTTATGTTCTCTTAAAAACAAACCAGTACATTTGTTTTTAAACATTATTAGCATTTTTAGAGGACACATTTTCAAATTTCTTTCTTATAAAAAGTATAATAATCCATAAAGTTTTTATTATTTTGTGGTAATGATATTTTAGAGGGTTATTTTCGAGTTTTTAATATATTTGAACGATAAGAGACGTTTATCTTTTGTTGTTTATATGTATACTGAGACAGCAAGCAATAAAAGTGTAATGGCGCCATTATGTTGTCTATTTTTTGGAATACTAATTCATCGAAGAAAGAAAACTAACATTGAAAATGAATCCAGGAATAAGAAAAAACAAAGAATAAAATTCAAAATGGTAATCTTTTTCTCAAACTTTCTTTATTAGCTGAAAAATTTGTGAACTTTAAAAGCTAAGCTTTGTCAAAAGGGAATCGAATTAATTGTTTTTGTTTGTTTAATGTAATTTGTTACGAACGAAAAT